CTGGTTTCCTTCAAACATGATGCTTGGAACTGAGGTTCATCAGACCAGATAATCTTGTTTCTCAGAGTCTGAGGGTCCTTTAGGTGCTTTTTTTTTTTTGCAAAATCCAAGTGTGTTTTCATGTGTCTTCACTGAGGAGAAGATTGAGTCTGGCCACTCCGACATAAAGCCCAGATTGGTGGATTGTTGCAGTGATGTTTGTCCATCTGTAGATTTCTCCTATCTCCACATATGATCATGGAGCTCAACTAGAGTGACCATCAGGTTCTTGGTCATCACTCTAACCAAGACCCTTCTCCATCAACTGCTCAGTTTGGCTAGGAGGCCTACTCTAGGAAGAGTCCTGGTTGTTTCAAACTTCTTCCATTAAGGGTAACAGAGACTACATGCTTCTGTGACCCTTCAATGAAGCAGATTTTTTTTCTGAAATCTTCCACAGATGTGTGGTTTGACACAAACCTGTTTCTGAGCTCTACAGGCAGTTCGTTTGACCTTAGGACTTGTTTTTTTTTTTGCTCTGATATGCAGCTGTTAGGTCTTTTATTAAGATGTGTGTGCCTTTCCAAATCATGTCCATTCAATTGAATTTGCCACAGGTTAACTTCACTCGAAGTGTAGTAACATCTACAAGCAATATGAATGCTCCTGAGCTAAATTTCAACTGTCCCAGATAAGGGTATGAATACTTGTGCAATGGAATCATTTAAGTTTTTTATTTTTAATAAATTTGCAAAGATGTTAAAACCCTGTTTTTTTTGCTTTACCATTATGGTGTATGGAGTGTAGATTGATGTGGAAAAAGTAATTTAAAGCAGTTTAACATAAAGCAGCAACATAAAAAGTGGAAAAAAAATTTGCAAGGCACTGTGTGTGTATGTGTGTGTGCGTGTGTGCATGTATACAGTGCTTGAAGTGGAAGAAAAACCCCTGTCCCCTTTATTTATTTCAATATTAAATAAATATGTACTTTTTAATTTTCATAATTCACAATGTATGTATAGTGTATGTAATCAATAATTAATTATTATTCTACTACTCATAAATATTTTAACAAACCTTTTTCACTACTTGATTAGCATATTTTTTTAATTTATGAGTGAAACTTTTCTGGATTACTTTTTGTGCATTTGTCTCAAAAATGCCAGGGTGATAAAACTGTCCTAATAAAAAACTTTATTTAATAATAATAATTAAAGTCACAAACTGCACAATGTAATGTAACCAACATTAGGGAAAAACATAAACAAGAAATGATCTCACCGAAAAGGACCCCTGCTCAGCTCGGTTAACAAAACCCCTGAACTGTGTGTGTACAGAATCAGATTAAGGACTAAGAGGAGTGACCTGTCTGTATCTGTGTGTTTGTGGCAGGCTGTAAGTGCTGCATTTGTTAATTGATCTGAGCACTAAGTCAAAAGACCTCTTTAGTTTGTAAGCCTGAGCACGGCTGATTCTCTTTAATCGCTTTAGGGGCAGTGCTGTGAGACTTATGAGAGAGGCCACTGTTTGTCCAGATGACGACATAACCTTCTTCACTCTGCACCATGTACCTGTGTTTCAATCACTAGATTAATTGCAGTCAAGCCACTGAAGTCATTTGGATTATTATTTTGAATATCAATGTGTCAGAATAACTGAACACAATTTTAATTTTTTTGGTCATTAAAGTGTCATGCAACATCTAACACACACACACACAATTCTGTGGTATTTATGGTTTTAAAAATCTGTAGTGTAGCTAAAGTAACAAAATTCTGACTTTCTAAATATATATTTATATATATTCTTCTTCTTCTTTTTTTATTATTATTGATTCAGTTTAATTGTATACAAGTGGAGGTATGTGTAAGTCGCACCATGAACAATTTGATGATCAGCTCAAAAGTTTGGATGGAGATTTCTGTGTACTCTGCTAATACACTGTTTGGTGACATTTTACAGTAAGATGTTAAACCAACAATAATTAAATAATTCAACCTTTATTAATGTTAATTTCTGCATATGCTAGTGCATTTTAATATTACATTTGATAAATTAACCTTAGTACAGCAAGATTATTAATGCTGTAAAACTGATCATTGCTAGGTAGAGATACCTAATGTTAATATAAGAATATTGTCAAATATTACCCACCATTTTATTAAAAGCATTTACTACCCAGGACAGATAAAAAGCATTGCATATTAGCCAGTTTCACTCTTGTGATTTGAGGTTTCTCTGATTTGTAATGTTTCAGATAAGCTTCAGATGATGGGAGCGTGTGAATTTTTTTGCAATTTCTTGCATTTGAGGAATGGATTGAGAATGACAATGAATAAACGAGAGAACAAACTGTGCAGTTGTCTCTGTGTCATTGTAGTATTCTGTTCCCTCTGTTCTGAGTCTTTTTGTTCCTGTTCTGTAAAGCTCATATCTGCTTGAATGATTGAATGATTTTAGACTGCAAAGCTCATTTATGTGTGTTTTTCTTTACTTTTAACATGCACATAGAGATCATAATTAAGATTAGTGCGTAAAACTCAAGATAGTGATCTGTAACAGTTGTATGACCTAAAAAGGAATGGTTCACCCATTTACCATTTACATTTACATATCCTGTTATAGTTTCCATGGACCTCAAAAGGAGAGATTTTGAAGAATCTTCACACCGCTCTTTTCCACACAACAAGAGTCTGTCAAAAACAAAACGGCATCAATAAAGTCTTCATAAAAGTGATCAGTGCAACTTGTTCACTATATTCCAAGTCTTTTGAGGTCATACGACAACTTTGTCACGAATGAAGTGTTCAAGCATGCGCAAACACATTCTAAATTAATTTTAGAATGAAGTTCATTTCATTGCTACAACAGCGAGCGAGATTTACATTCAATGACTTTTGGTCTGTTCCTCTCACAAAGCTATCAAATGGCTTTTGAAGACTGGGAATATGGGAATAATTTCTAGTAGTCGAAAGCCAGTATTTGGCATTTTTTTTAAATGATCGGCATTAGCCTTTCATGTCATCCATGTCATATTCCACTGACATGGATGACATGAAAGCATAGCCCACAGCATAGCCCACTGCTCCGGGTGTGTGTTCATGGTTTGTGTGTGTTCACTGCTGTGTGTGTGCACTTTGGATGGGTAAATGCAGAGCACTAATTCCGAGTATGGGTCACCATACTTGGCCACTTCACTTCACTTCATTTTTCACTTCATTCACTGTTTACTGTATGTAAAATTAGTATTACCTGCTTTTATGAGATTAATGAGTGTACTATTGGTTACAGCTACCTTTTTAATCATGTTTTTAACTTTTTTTATTTTTTTTTGTGAAAAATACTGCGATAAGAATTTGATTCTTATCTAAAATTATTTAAGTTCCTATCTAGAATATAAATCTGTTTATTTTACAGGTTTAATTTTCATCCATTTTAAATATTTTTATATTGATTCATTTTCAAATTATTTATTTTTAATTCAATTGATATGTCAAATAAATATGCTTTTTAGCAGCATACTATTTTTAAATTAAATATCATAAATATTAGCCTTACATCTGCCATCAGCCACCCTGCTCTCCAAGACATTGTCATTGGCCATCAAAAAATCCATTTTGGTTGACTGTTTTCCCTCTTTTGGTGTTTGAAGGCTACTGACCACTATCTGCTTTTGTTGTATGGAAAAGAGCAGCATGAACATTCGTCTAAATATCTAATTTTCTCTTTCATGAACGATAGAACATAAATAGGTTTGGAACATGATGAGGATGAATGAACATCGACAGAACTTTCATTTTTGGTCAAGCTAGTCATCATTGATCTCTCCAGAAGCCTCTCTCGGAGTAATCAACAGACTGTAATTCTGAACCCAATGCTTCTGCTCTTCAGCGAGAGCTCTTCAATCACGCATCTGTGGTGTAAACAAGCGATGTGTGTTGTTACACTGGACTGACTGTTAAATTGTCATGTATGAAGTGTTCAAGCATGCGCAAACATGAGATCGGCTTTGCACCGTGCTTGGAGGCGTTCTGTGGCGCCTAACTTTAGGTTGCCATGCTGAGATGGGAGGAGGTCAGGGCGGCTCGCTGTTGTCTTCCATTGCTGTGTGTTCTTTTCACAGTGTCTCACCGGGTCTCCTCTGTGCTCTGCTCACTGTCTGTTCCTTTCTTCACAATGCATTGCATATTCAGAAGCAGCAGCATGTAGGTATATGAAAAACAACACAACTTCCACCAGCTGCATGGCCTCTCTTTGTTTAGTCCTTTTTCTTCCTGTTTTAGTTTTCTATGAGTTTCACAACATTCTGACAGTCATCCTTGCAGGAGAAGCACTTGAAAAAAGACAAATGAAACTGATTTCTAATTTACAGTCATGTTAGGAGAGTTGTTTTGGTTCTGTTTAAGGGAGTAGTTCACTCAAAAATGTAAATTCTGTCAGTATTTACAGACCTTCATGGCATTCCAAACCCATATGCTGTTGTTTTTATTTCTGTGGGACACAAAAAGAGAATTTCTGAGGAATCCTCTCTATAAAAGTGCAGTTCAAAGTGACCATGTCTGTCAAGCTCCCTATAAAAGCCTTCAGAAGTTACATGATATCTTTCCACAGAAAAATAACAGCGTATGGTGAGTAAAAAGGACAGAATTTTCATTTTTCTGTGAAATGTTCTTTTAATACACTGAAATTTTGAAACCCTGTTTTGACATGCTTTATATTTTGAGTTTCGGTCTTTGTTCTCCACCCTTTCACCCTGTTGTTAATTTCTGTGTCTCAGTGTTTAATGTCTTTGACCGTGTCATTGTCCCTATGTTTGCCCGTCTGTGGCATGGTTGTAATGCACGTTGGGATTTATCTTGCCTCTCTCCCTCTTTCTTTCTTTCTTTCTGGCCTACTCTACTCTAACTCGATCTAACTGTCTCTTTAACCTCTCAACATTTGTTCTCACTTGAATCACATGATTTTGAGTCCATTTCCTGTTGTCCTCTCTCTTAACTGACGTCTGTCCCTCTTCTCTGCAGGGGATGTGCTTTTCCAGATGGCAGAGGTCCACCGACAGATTCAAGTGCAGTTAGAGGAAATGGTCTGTACTTTATTTGACCGCCGTCCATTTTGCATCTTTATGAAAGTATCTATTTTGCATAGATTAGATTCAAATTTTTCAAATCTTGGCAGGTTCAATACAAGTTAAATCCAGTGAATTGTAATGTAAATCACAGTATACATGGAGCAAACTCCACGCATAGGAATGACATAAAACAAAAAGGATTTACACAAGTTTGTATTTCAAATAACAAACATGTTATCACTGAATAATTAAAGGTGCTGTATGTTATTTTTTTAAAATGCCATAATATATTTGCAGATATTTAGGAATCAAGTTTTCTCTGAAAAACAATGCTACAGCCATTTATTCTAATGTGTTTTTGTTTTGTTTTGTGTGATTCCGCCCACTGCCATTTTACCCAATAGTATTTCAACACCCAGGGTTGCCAGGTGGTGGAAAATACAGCGTAATGCAGCCATGGAAGCGGGAAAACGAACTGGGTCAGACATTGCAGATTCTACCTGACCTTAAAATCTCTCTGACCAGAGGCATATTACAAATTGTATAAATCAAAATTGGTGCCTTCCATTGTCAATTGTGCTCGTTCCTGTTGCATGGCTTCAATCTGGCAACCCGCGTGAGTGTCGAAGAGGAGGGGTGGGAGAAACAACTCTCTCCAGTATTTTCAATTTGGACTGCAGTACCTATTTCAACTGATAGCTGCCAACATTACATACTGCACCCCAATGTAACCGCCAAAATAAATATACAACCTTGACGTTTCTGATATAAAACCTTCTGGAATGCTCAGTTGCAGTTGTTACTGTAACCACAACATTGAGGGATGACTAATTTTCTGTGCTTATCAACATTATACTAAAAATGCTATTGAACTCGTAACGTGTCGGGGTATATTGTATAATCTGCACAAATCTGTGTTTTAAGGTTCTTAAAAAGCCAATTTAGCAAACTTAAAGCATTTTTTTCTGCATTTTGTTGCAGTTGAAATGCTTCCACAACGAACTGCTGTCTGAGCTGGAGAAGAAGGTGGAATTGGATGCAAGATACCTGACTGTGAGTCCACAGCACATCCCACTCCTTCTGATAACCTAACAGACTGACAGAAGTGCTTCTCCTCTACTTTAGTAATACACATTCCTGTAAAACAACCGACACAGACACAGACTTTTTATAATCTGTTTGGTTTCCAAAGAATAAAACCATTCTATGTTTCCTATTTCACTTGGAAAATGCATGATATTATGAAAGTAAAATGGATTGTGAATGGCCTTTTAGACTGACTTTGCAATTGTTAAATCATAGAATGAATGAAATTATCCAGAAGTATCTTATATTCAGCAAGGCTGCGTTTATTTGATTAAAAATACAGTACAAAATGTAAAACATTATTACAATTTAAAATAACTATTTTCTATTTGAATATATTTTAAAATGTAAGTTATTCCTGTGATGTCAAGGCTAAATTGTCAGCCTCATTACTCCAGTCTTCAGTGCCACATGATCCTTCAGAAATCATTCTAATATGCTGATTTACAGCTCAAGAAGTATTTCTTATTATCATTGTTGAAAACAGTTGCTTAATATTTTTTGTTGTTGTCATTGAAACTGTTTTCAGAAATTCTTTGAATAGAAAGTTCAAAAGAATGGCATTTATTTGAAATAGAAATATTTTGTAACAATGCAAAAGTCTTTACTGTCACTTTTGAGCAATTAAATGTGTCCTTGCTGAATAACAATATTATTTCTGTAAAGGGGTCATATGATGGGATTTCAAGTTTTCCTTTCTCTTTGGAGTGTTACAAGCTGTTCGTGAATAGATAAGATCCCTAAAGTTGCAAAGACTAAAGTCTAAAACCAAAAGCGATATTCTTTTTAAAAGTTAAGACTCGTCCACGCCCTCCTAAAACGGCTCGTTTAAACACGCCCCCACATGTCTACGTCACGATGTGGGAAGATTTGCATAACGCCGCCCAAATGTTCACGCAAAAAAAGGCGGCGTAACTTTGATTCTCGCTGTAGTATTGTTGTTGCCGCCATGTCGTCAAGGCGCTGTGTGTTTCGTTGTGAAAGCGAAACTACTTTGTTTGGCCTTCCAAAAGAGGACACGACTAGAAATCAGTGGTTAAGTTGTATTTACAACACTGTTCCAGAACAGTTCAAGCTAAATATTCAAATGTGAGCAATGCATTTTACGGAGGACTGTTCCCTGATCCTGGGAGAGTAGACTACAATGCCGGTGTTCTGACAAATAATGCTGACTCACAGCCTGTAAGTACTTTTTTTTTTTTTTTGCCACTGATGATTCAAACACGAGTTTTGAGCAGTGTAGAGTAGCGTTTGTTGTTTGTAATTTTTCCGATCACAAATGCAGACATGGTTTTATGTTTACGTGGCGTGATGCAACTCAACGCGTAAAAAGATAGTATAAGTCATTATAATTTGTAATTATGTCCCCACTGGATGCAACAAATGCCTCGTTTATAATGGCTTTTAATATTTTTGTCTCGTCGCTCCGGCCGGACAGGGCATCACAATATGGTAAGGGGTGTAACATTTGCGTTTACACGCTTGAGGTATTCGGCCAATCACAATGCACTGGATAGCTGGCCAATCAGAGCACACTTCGCTTTTCAGACCGATGAGCTTTGTAAAAATCTACGCGTTTCAGAAAGGCGGGGCATAGAGGAGAAACAATAATGTACAGTATGTGGAAAATAATGGGGTTTTTTTACCTTAAACTGCATAAACACATTTCATCACACCAAATACACAAAATAATGTTCTTTTTAGCAACATCATATAACCCCTTTAAAAAAAAAAGTAAAATAAAATCTTACTTATGCCAATCTTTTGTAGTGTAAATATGGATATTTAGCCATTTTTTAGTTAAATTTTGTCGTCTTGGCAGTCTGATGAAATATTGAGCCAAGAATATAAAAAAAAAAATTGGATGACATTGCTGACTCTGCTTTGGTTACATGCTCCACATGGCAAGTGTAGCATATTATTTTGCAAACAATTTACATTTATGCTTTTGGCATGTTATTTTATGCAAAGCAACTTATCAGTACACGTGTTCCCTTGATTCAAACACACAACTAGTGGAGCTACAGAAACGAAAAAATAAACATAGAAAAATTGTGTTCACTACACAGTATATATACCGCAGACTTCTTTCTTAGTAGTTAGTATGCCATTCCAAACACACCCATAGATCCTGAAGAAATAAGTATTTTCTTGTATAGCAACGACCCTGTTTTCCCATCACTCCTGTTTCCACTATTTTCAACAAATGAAAGTACACAATTTGCGACAGATTAAAGTATGTTTGGAGCAGTGCTGAGAGGGATATCTTTAGACTGTGAGTGGGTTGGAGAGGAGCTGTGTAGAGCAGTTAATTTGGGGGGGTTTGGGCGACTGGGATTGGGCGTCACTTGTCATCACACTGTATTCAGATAAAATTAAAGCCTTGCTGTCTTGCCTTATTCAGCGCTGGAGAGAGCGATCTGCGGTCGTTCTTCTTGGAAACCACACTTTTTTTTTCTCTCAGTCCACACATTCTGTGCAACACGTCGAGTCTCTGCTCCGGAGCCCATTGTGAGATTTCTATTTAGGTCTGGATGACTCTTATGATATCCATTTTGTGCTTCCTCCATAGGAGCACCATTTTATAAGGATTAACAGTAAAATAACAGGTTGACTTGGTACTAGTTAGTCTGAAGAAAATGCTTCAAACGCATATTCTGTTCTGCCCACAACAAATCAAGCTTGACAAGTAAGCAAATCAGGTTAACTGAAGTAAACCAGCCAGTAAACCTGAAGTGATCCGTCAGATCTGATTTTTATTTATTCCTGTAATGCCTTGTAAGTCATTCATATGGTGAGAAAAGGGGATCATGGCTGTCGAAGCAGAATCTTCCTTTCTCCCGCCGAAGATTGAGCGATTGCTCCATCACTCACATGTAACGCTGTCTTTGTAGACACTTTCCTGCTGCGCAAGAATCTGGTCGAGCTGCCAAACTATTTATAGACGTGTAGTCTAGAGATCATTCTCTCAGCGTACCTTGTGTAGGATGTGCGAAGATTCATATATCTAGAAATTCTCAGCCAAGTGTATCAGCCTCCGGAATTTGGTGGTGAGCCATGTTGTGAGGTTGGGAGTGGAGACCTTCGCTGCTTTCTTCTGCAGACATCAGAACGCACTGCCCTGAAACCCCAGACCTTTAGCTCTGCTCCAGACCCCGGTGAACCGCATGGCCAGACCACGTTTGAAGGCATCATGAAGGGATCCTGACTTGAAGGCTGTTCTTAACAGTTGCTGGCAGAGCTAAGCTGCCTTCTCAGATGTTCTGGCCAAACTGTAAGGCAGCATCGCAAGTGTCCATCTTTGAGAAGACAATCCCAGAACTGGGAATGTGCACTTTAGTCACTTTACTTGATGATTACTCAACAGATGAATCAGATGTGTGAGACTGGGGTTTGTTGCTCAGTTTATATACAGTATGTACCAGACAGACCTTTTTTTTTTTTTTGGTGTTGTCACATCTAACTTTTTCCAGTGTCTCAAACCATGAGAGTCGTGTCATTAAGGTGCCATGTCAAGTTAATTATATTTTTAAAAAATTGTGTATTGATTGTGAAAAGTGGAATGTTTATTGTAAAGATACTTGTACAGTATTTTATCAACTGAAAAATACTGACAAAATTTGAAAATTAGTTGTGGAATCATTAGTCTCAGCCTTAGACGTCACGCCCACGGACCGTTGGCTAAACGTCTGATGCATATGGCACACAAAAGTGGAAACACTTCAGGAGTTTCGAAGTCGTCATCGGATTGGTTGAATTATACAGGATTTCCGGGAGATGTGCGTTCTTTAACGTTCCGCCTGGAAACAAAGATGCCGTGACGCCAAACCCCCTCACGAAAGAAGAAAGCCGTCGTGTTTACAACTGTGACGACGAGCGCTTATCAGGATCAACTAAACGCTGGATTTTCAGAAGTATGTGAAAAATTTAAAGTTCACGGCATAGAATCTTTAAAACACGTCCGAGAGTTTTACACACGGTCTGTTATTGTGACGACATTTCCACGCCCCGAAACATGATAATGAACGAAACTGTGATTGGTTGTTTGACATGTCTGCCAAACGGCCTCATGGGCAGGCCTTGGCCAATGTAAGCTGCCATGGATTCCATGGTACGCGAGACTATGGAAACATTAGCATAGCAACATGCTGAAGTCTGATTGAGTTGAGCAAGTTCGTATTGCTGCGCTGATAACATCACAATTTCACAATTATAATATTTTGATAGTTTAATTATGATAGTTTGATTATAATTCATGTTCTAATATTAATAATAATTTATATTATAACATTTACATTCTAAAATAATGATGATTTATGTTATTATTTGTATAAATATACAATGTATTATATAATGGTATAATAATAATTTTTATTTTTGTGATTATGATTATGATTATTATTATTATTATTTCAGTATAGTCCAGACTTCACTCACAATGAATCTGACAGTTATAATGCCACAACTGATTGTGATCTAGTAATAAAAGCATTTATATTATACTAGTAGTAGTAGTAGTAGTAGTAATACTAATACTAATAATAATAATAATGGTTAATTGTCGGATTCAATTGTGAGTGGAAAGACTGTGCTGATAAAAATCAGATATATACATACATATATATATACACAATAATAATAATAATAGTTATTATAGTAACTATATTGTGATATTACAATATTTATATATTATCATTATATTATTATTAATGATAGTATTATATTAACTGTATAGTGATATTATAATATTTAAACATCTTAGTAGTATTATTATTGAATAATTGCATTTGTGTTGTCATATTATGTGAATTCTGTCAGGAGCATTATCTGTGTACTGTACACTAGTGACCATTAAGAAAGTTCCTGTCTATGTAGGCTGTTTAAGATCAGTCCATTTCACTCAAGACTGTGGCTCAGAGGAGGGCAGTAGACAACAGACAGCGAGTGTTTTGGAACATGACATTTGACTAGTGGGCTTTGACGCCCATGTCTTTCTTAATGCAGTAGCTACAGTCAGATGATTTCTGCATTTACCAACAATGTCCCTGTGTTTTTCCTCCTGAAGGCGGCTCTTAAGAAGTACCAGATGGAGCACAAAAGCAAAGGAGAGAGTCTGGAGAAATGCCAGGGTGAGCTGAAGAAACTGCGGAGGAAGAGCCAGGGCAGCAAGAACCCCTCCAAGTACGGCGAGAAGGAGTTGCAGGTGAGCCCCCACACCACCGCCACGGGCCGTGAACAGAGCTAGCGTGTCACTGTGGGCTCCGTCGAGGCCTTTGAAAGGGACGGAGGTGGATGGATAGGTACTGGTTCAGCAAGACCACCTACATCATGTTAATGCTGGGAGGATTTTAACGCCGTCTGAATTTAAGAAGTGCTGCGAGCCTCTCGTGGCAAAGAGAACACAATGGGTGGGCAAAAGCCGTAGGTGTGTATACAAACAGCGCTGCGGCATATCAGCTAAGAGGCTGCGCTGAACACACACACACAAACATCACGGTTGTTTTTACTGACTTTCTTCCCTGTTTAAACTGCGCGAGTGGACCCCAACCTGCTGTATTAATTGCAGTGTGTGAATGCTGGCCTGCTGAGAGGAGTCTTACACTGTGACAGCGGGGTTGTGGAGACCTGGCATAGATCAATAAGCAAAGTGCATATGCTCTCTGGCCCAGAGCTCACAGGAAGCTTACTCGCTCTGCCAGGTGTGAAAGAACGGCCCTCCTGACCCCCTTTTTAGAGCCATGGTATACTTGATCGGCTCACACTTCCTTAAAACGTGGCTCTGCCAGTGTGTTTTTAGTTAGTTTTATTTGGATTTTCCATTTAGTTTGAATTTAATCTAAAAGTTTATTTTTTTTAGCATAATTATTTATTTTCAGAGAGTTAGTTTAGTAGCTGTCCTCTTTTTCAGCTACCTTGGTTCCGGATTATTTTTCCCATTTGTTTTTCCCATAGGGATTTTTTTAAAAGATCTTCATTAAAAAGTTATAAGACATGAACAAACCAACCAGCAACGAGGTGAATCACAACATTACGAGCAAAAATATATTTGGAAATCAGAAAAAAAGACAAATACAGGCTTTAGTGGCTTTTAATGAGGGAGAGGACTACAATCCCATGAAGCAGTGCAAATCATATAATCAAATTAAAAATGATGGATGAATATTGATTTAAAGATGTTGAACATGTATACAGAAGCAATGTATTTTATGTTTATTGCAAAATATGGCAAGGCAAGGCAATAAAGTTTTGTATTATTTGTATAGCACATACAATGGTAATTTAAAAACGTTCTTTACATAAAGATTTAAAAATAATCATAAGATAATCATAACTGATGCAGAAGACAAACATTTAATTTAGAATGCAATCAAATTTAATAAAAACAAATTAAAAGCATATTAAAAGAAAAGAATACATGAATAACATGATACAGTGCAATCAGTTGGATGCAGCTCAGTGCTCATTCAGTAAATTATCCATTAAACAGATGTATTGAGCTGCATATATATGTACAAATATTTAAGTAGTTTTTGAGAAAACTAACATTTGCAGTTCTTACACATTTATTCAGAGTGCTTCATGGGAGTGTCGCGATTCTCTGATTGGTGGAGTTTTTTGTGGAATTGTGGGTAATGTAGTTTGTTTGGGTTTTTTTGGTTGTTTTTTTTTACCAGGAATTGTGCTGTTTAACATCTTTTTTTTTATTTTTTTTTTATCATTAAAATAATGCATGTTACCTTGTCAGAAAATATGGGAAGTGAACATGTGGTTGGTTCACCTGTCAATCAGACAGGCAGCTCTTGCCTTATTGGCTGATTATGTCTGACACAATGCATAGTTTAATTACATCATCGAACAATGATTGAAAAAAACAAAAACCAAAATGTTCTCTCTCTTTTTTTTCTTCCGTTCTCATTAAGCTCACATTTTATATAAATACATTTGCAGATAGTCATAATAGGTGGTATTCATTAAAAACTGTATACAAAAGTCTTCACAGTAGGTAATTTTTTGTATTACTAGCTAAAGATAATAATGATAACCCTGAGTGTGCAGCTGAATTCCCCCCTGAGGCTGTGAGCGTGTATAGGAGCAGGCATCTGTCAGTGACTGCTGTTGGGTGGTTTGAGATGTAGCGCTGCTGGGAGTTTATACAGTAAATATGTCCATCTACTGCCAGATGCCCTGCAGATAGTGAGCTCAGGTTGAGCCGAGCTTCACTCACCTCAGAGATCCACAAATATTTTGAGTGTTGTGATTTTGTAAACTAAAGCCACAAGAGGCCATGATTTGCAGTGATTTTTCCAAGGGTGGATGTTAAGGGATGTTTTACATGATACAGTTGAGTTGTTTATAAAATGGTCACTAAAATTCTTATACTTTCAATGTAAACTTACCATTCAAAAGTTGACATTGGATTTTTATTTTATTTTTTTATTTTTTTGGAAGGAAATTAATAGTTTTATTCAACAATGCTGCATTAAATCGATTAAAAGTCACATTAAAGACATTAATAATGTTATAAAATATTTCTTTTTCAGATAAATGCTGTTCTTTTGAACTTCTATTTATCAAAAATCCTGAATACATACTGTTTTCAACACTGATAATAATAAGAAATGTTTCTTGGGCAGCAAATCGGCATATCAGAATGATTTCTGAAGATCATGTGACACTGAAGACTGGAGTAATGATGCTGACAATTCAGCTTTGCATCACAGGAATAAATTAAATTTTAAAATATATTCAAATAGAAAACAGTTGTTTTAAATTGTAGTAATATTTCACAATATTACTGTTTTTACTGTATTTTTGATCAAATAAATGCAGCCTTGGTGAGTATTAACAAATATTACCAACCCCAAACTTTTTAACGGTAGTGTAGAATTCAGCTCATGCAGTCTGTCAGCTGTTTTACATTATTTAGTTTACTTACCTAATGTGTCTCATCCAATCATATCCGTTTCATAAATTAAGAAAAAAGTATCAAGTTTAAGAACACGTTTACCCTTGGTAAGATCACTGTAACACACTACGCATTAGCTTTAATAAAAGAAAGCAGACACAGGTGTTCAATTAATAGTTTGATGTATTAATATTAATGCTTGTTCAGAGTTTGTTTCAGACCTTAGAGTTGCCAAGCAACAAAGTCACTCACCCCATTAATATATAATGTTTGGTCACGGGTGTGTGTGCATTCAATGACTATGAACACAGCCCATTCAATCAAATGCTGTACAATTCCACACTTAGATGATATACATAGATATACAGTGGGTACGGAAAGTATTCAGACCCCCTTAAATTTTTCACTCTTTGTTATATTGCAGCCATTTGCTAAAATCATTTATGGTATATGAGTGTCACAGCAAAGGGTCTGAATACTTAGGACCTCTCTTAGGACTTATTTCAGTTTTTCTTTTTTAATAAATCTGCAAAAATGTCAACAATTCTGTGTTTTTCTGTCAATATGGGGTGCTGTGTGTACATTAATGAGGGAAAAAAAATAACTTAAATGATTTTAGCAAATGGCTGCAATATAACAAAGAGTGAAAAATTTAAGGGGGTCTGAATACTTTCCGTACAAACTGTATATTATGAGTTATTTTGTTTCTGATCTTTTAAAAGATAGATTTTTCAATACCTGCTTTCGTCTAAAGAACAGAGCACCTTTCATTTTCTCCCTCAGAGCTTTTTACATGTAAATGTGGCCTTGAGCAAGAGCAAGAAACGTCAGCTGATTTAGTCGTGAGCCCCACGGGCCCATAAAGCAAAGACTGAGTGTACACACACATAAATTCATATACTTCATCTCCATATTACCATAAATCACACCGTTATCGCTGAGAGTGACGGCAGTTTGGAGGTTTACGGATTGCGATTCATTGAAAAAAGCTCCATGAACTGGCATGAATTGACTACTTTGACTGAGCATGTTCAGACGACTGTTTATACACTCCGTTTTTATCGCTCTCGTCTCTGTTGTACCTCCGTCCCCTCTTCTTTTTTTCCCTCTTCCTGTTGCTGCTGAAATAATTAGTCGCTGAAGTCCCTCTGAAGATGCTAATTAGATAATTATTCAGTTCAGTAGAGTGGTCTGAGGTGCAGCGGGAGGGATATGAGATTCGGCGGAGGTCTACGGCGTCGGCGCTCGCTGTGATATCGCAAGTTAACAGACATGTCATGCTTCTGAACGGTGTGGACTCCTCAGCGAGTTCAGGGAAAGCAATTAGAGTATCTACAGAAGAACACTTGCACGCGCTGTTAGCGCACACGACTCCGGCGTGAGACTTATCCCGGGAGAGCCAGGGCTGGAGAGGAAGCGGCTGTGCCACGGGATGAAGGACTGCTGATGTCAGAAGAACGAGCGGAGCTGCGGCTATATCAGGCTGACGCAGCGGGAGACGCAGCAGGAAGCGTTTAAGTCTGAGAGGGCTTTGTGCTTTAGACATAGAGGGATTCCACTTCCCATTCGGCGCACAGCCAGTGTCCAAACAACACTGCGAGCGCTGGGTAATTTAAGAAAATTGACTGCCTGTTAAAAATATTACATCATTTCTAGTGCTGTCAAACGATTAATTGCGAATAATCGCATCCAAAATAAGTGTCTGTTTCCAAATATATATGAGTGTACAGTTTATATTTATTATGTATATATAAATACATACACATTTGTGTATATATTTAATAAAAAAGTGTTATGTAAAAAATATTTATATATAATGTGAATTATATGAATATAAATATATACATGTAAAAAAATATATATATATTTTCAAAATATATACTGTATGTGTGTGTATTTATATACACCGTACACACGCATGTATTATGTAAACAAAAACTTATTTTGGATGCGGTTAGGGCTGCACGATTAATCGTAATTAAATCGCAAAGGCAATAAATCGCGATTAGGTAGAAGCTGCGATTGTCATGCTTATCTTTCAGTGAAGCTCGGTTCTGTGATCAGCGGTAAATCTCTCGTGCGGAAATTCCAAATATGCCTCGCAGAAGAAACCCAGGAATGCCTATCGCTGCAGCTAAATTAACAGAAGATTTAACTGCTTTTCATTGATTCAACGTGACTAGTAAACACACGACTACGACAATATATATGGTTTATCTGAGTTCGTCTTACTATAATTTTTATTATAATAAAGTATGTAAGGCAATGCTAATCGACACAGCCTTTGCTTAGAATACTACGAAATATTGCATGCCTTATTCTGTTTAAGAAGCCAGATCATCTCACAGAAGGATTTATTTCAAACACTCGACTGACGTTATGAAGGGAGTTTGGAGTAAAAGCATGTTATTAAATGTCATACTTTCACGTGCTTTCAGATGGAGCAGCATTTACTACACAGAGCCGTAGTTCACTGACAAGCTACGCAAACAGCTTTCATAATCGCAGAACGATATCTTCGATTTCATTGCAATTATGAACGCGATTTTGCGTAGCTTGTCAGTGAACTACGGCTCTGTGTAGTAAATGCCGCTCCATCTGAAAGCATGTGATGGAGATATACTACTAATCACAGAACCGGCTTTACTGATGAGATCCACATGATTATCGCATTAGATTAATCGTCCAGCCCTAGATGCGATTAATCGCAATTAATCGTTTGACAGCACTAAAAATTTATTTAATTCCTAAATAAAGAAATTTAGCTGTTCTTCATTTGAATATTTGCAGGTCATTTTGATAATGTTTGCCGCCAATCACAAAATCGACAAATGAAAATGTCAAATCACTACAAATGATTTTGTTCATCGTAAATGTATACGTTTCAGTGGTATAACACACATGAACTGTTGACACATGGAATTGTTGCATTGCATAATGATTTAGACTCCAAAACCCCCTTTTTTCAAATCCCAAGACAATATTTGGAGGCCTTTCTATCCTTCCAGGCTGATTTTATGGCTAATAGAAATGGGAGAATATGAAACTGAGGAGGAAAACACCCCAGTTTTATTCAGAGGCCCAAATTGAAATGAAATTTTTCATAATATTTCAAAATCGACAAATGAAAATGTCAAATCACTACAAATGATTTTGTTCATCGTAAATGTATACGTTTCAGTGGTATAACACACATGAACTGTTGACACATGGAATTGTTGTTGCATTGCATAATGATTTAGACTCCAAAACCCCCTTTTTTCAAATCCCAAGACAATATTTGGAGGCCTTTCTATCCTTCCAGGCTGATTTTATGGCTAATCGAAATGGGAGAATATGAAACTGAGGAGGAAAACACCCCAGTTTTATTCAGAGGCCCAAATTTAAATGAAATTTTTCATAATATTCCCTGCAGTTGCTGATATTTAAACATATAATGCACAGCAATACATTGAAATGTTCCTCAAAAGCCAGATTAATCATATTTGATACATTTTAACCTGATTTTTCTATTGAAACATTTGCTTCAGTCCAGTAGGTGTTCATCTTGAAATATTACTAATAATACTGAAGTTATTCTTATATATAGCTTATACAATTCAGATTTCACTGCAAAAAGACTGTCAATATACAATACAATAAGTATCACAACCTGAATGGTGACATTTTTAAAATTATAGAACTTGAATAAAGTTATCAAACACTAAATTCTAAATTAAATATAAATGAATCCTTAAAGCTACAAAAGTTATTGACTTCCTCTCTTTTTTTTTCTTGCGCTTTTTGATGAACAGACATCACAGCAGCTGGGTTATTAAGTTATTTTGGCTGCTTTAAGAGCTGCCACTGCTGAACGTGACACGGATCTGACACGCATCGTATTTTCTTACAACTCTTTACTTTTTCTGACCCATTTCAGGTCTTTAAGTCTCTACTAATGAGCTGACTAGTTGAGTCGGGTGTGTGTGTGTGTGTGTTAGATGAGGGAGACAGTTTTGAAAAGCAGCACATTTCAGTGACAGAGTTCTTAATTGTGACTCGTATATAACAAATAAATACTTACAAGTTATGGTTATGTTGATTTAGAGGCCTTAGAATTTTGCATATCAAATATGATACAGTGGGCTTTATAGGGTTAAAAAATCATTGCATGTGTGTTACTGTATATAATTAGACCATGCTTGAAAATATAGCTTTTCCTAGCATGATTAGAGCAAAACTAATACATTTATAATGCATTTGATAGAAATATGTTATTGGCAATAAGTAGAAAACCACACATACCAAAAAATTAGTTTCGTACAGTATATTTAATGCAACCAATGTTGTGCAAGCTGTGCATGGATTTTTTTCTTTTTAAATGCCATCTTAGCAAACACTTTGGAGGTTTCACAAAAGTTATTGACTTCCTCTCTTTTTTTTTCTTGCGCTTTTTGATGAACAGACATCACAGCAGCTGGGTTATTAAGTTATTTTGGCTGCTTTAAGAGCTGCCACTGCTGAACGTGACACGGATCTGACACGCATCGTATTTTCTTACAACTCTTTACTTTTTCTGACCCATTTCAGGTCTTTAAGTCTCTACTAATGAGCTGACTAGTTGAGTCGGGTGTGTGTGTGTGTGTGTTAGATGAGGGAGACAGTTTTGAAAAGCAGCACATTTCAGTGACAGTTCTTAATTGTGACTCGTATATAACAAATAAATACTTACAAGTTATGGTTATGTGGATTTAGAGGCCTTAGAATTTTGCATATCAAATATGATACAGTGGGCTTTATAGGGTTAAAAAATCATCGCATGCGTGTTACTGTATATAATTAGACCATGCTTGAAAATATAGCTTTTCCTAGCGTGATTAGAGCAAAACTAATACATTTATAATGCATTTGATAGAAATATGTTATTGGCAATAAGTAGAAAACCACACATACCAAAAAATTAGTAGTAAACGTACAGTATATTTAATGCAACCAATGTTGTGCAAGCTGTGCATGGATTTTTTTCTTTTTAAATGCCATCTTAGCAAACACTTTGGAGGTTTCAGTCTTTCCCTGTTCAATTAGATCCTGCAAGAACTTGGATAGAAAATACCAAGTTTCCAATAACTGTAACTATGGTATTTGATTAGAAACCGTGCCCTTTTGAAAGCATTCTGCGGTAATACCATGGTACTTTGATGTACATCATGACACTGAATTATAAAGAATGTGTTTGAATGGAACTGCCGCTTTAGTTGCATGGTACTGTTCAAAAACACAGTATTGTAGATTTGTGTTTGTGTGGTTTTGTAGGGCTATTCATTTTAAATGAGCAGTTCATTGGAATAGGTGTTGTTTTGTGGGGAGGAATTCAAGATAGTGTTGACACTAACATAAGCATAACAATACCTGTGTCTGGAATTTCCCTACGGCACGTGTCTTCGGTTTCACTTGTTAGAGAAATGTGCCTTGTGTCATAATAAACGTTGGAATGGACTGGTTCAACATTTCCCAGAATCCAACACTGCTGTTTTTAATGAGGTTTTTAGTTTTCTCCATATTAAAGTAACATATTGTGTGCCTTTTGGTGAGAGAGATGAGACAAGCTCATAATTGGTCTGCAACATGTCCCGATACCATTTCCCCATCTTATTTCCAATCACATACACTACCAATCCAAAGTTTGGGGTCGGTAAAAAGTTGCATGTTTTTGAAAGAAGTCTCTTATGTTCACCAAGGCTGCATTTATTTGATCAGAAGTGCAGTAAAAACAGTAATATTGTAAAATATTATTACAATTTAAATGAACTGTTTTCTATTTGAATAGATTTTAAAATGTAATTAATTTCTGTGGTTGGCAAAGCTGAATTTTCAGCATCAATACTCCAGTCTTCAGTGTCACATGATCCTTTATCAGAAAAATTTTCCAACAGAAAATTCAAACGAACAGCATTTATTTGAAATAGAAATCTTTTGTAACTTTACTGATCAATTTAATGCATCGCTGTGAAATGAAAATACTTGTTTCGTTCAGGAAAATAAAACGTATTATTAATATTATTGATATTTGAATATTCAATGAAATAATAATTGTCATAGTTGCTGTAATGTAACACCAGTATAACCATCCAGCCCTTCTTTCCTCTGTCTCCATTAATAACTAGAGCGTGTGTGCCAAAGCCACATGACCTGTGTAACATCTTTCACAGCGGCTGATTGAGCAGGTCTGACAGCTTCCATATCTGAAACGAAGGGTCCTGCCTTCTCCATCCATCACTCCATCAGCACGCCTGTCATCCGCGTCATGCCTGTCCACGCGGCCGTCTGCTGTCATGACCTCTAATGCATCTTTTCATCAAACACTCACTCCCCATGTTCTAGATTTCCGTTGTGCTTTTCCTCATTTCACCTCCTTTGCTGTCGTACCTCACCGTGTCTCTTTCACACTGCAGTACTCTTATGACTCATAGTGGAGTTGTATCTGAGTTTTTATTCTGGAAGGGAAATAAAACGCTCCGCTTTATCTGCGCTGTAAAGCAAGTTTGTATCTCTGATTGATGTATTATTCTGCAAGGCAAAATCTTACTTTAAAGTCCAAAAAAATGACCCTTTCTTAATGCATTTTTTGCTTTTGTGAGCTTGTTTCACTGGAAAACGTTACATTATTTAGGTATAAAGGGGTTTTGAACAGTGTTTAATGCTTTGTACCCATTCATGAGCAATGCAGCCCTCTATAGACCACGGGTCGTCAACAGTGGGTTCGTAGCAGCAGAGGTTCTGCCAATTATTGCTTGATTTCAAACTATTTTTGTAGTTTTTAGTACAGTTTTTTTATTTCTTTATTGACCCATACATCCATACAAATTACCCAAAAAGAAAAAAAAAAACATTCTTAGGGCAAGACTTCCATTTTTTTATTATTATTTTTTTTTTTATTGAAAGCTGATCGGACTAAGATCAATGGCGTCATTTCATTTCATGCTGAATTTAGTAGCAATAATATTTTAATTATTATTATTTTAATGGCTTTGCCATGTAAGCCAGTGTTATTTGATAATACTATTTTGATGTTATAGTTTTTGTTAATATTTTGAATTTTTTTATATATATATATTTTCTGTTTTATTCATTTTAGTTAAATATTTAATCATTAATTTTTATTTTGTTTTTGGCATTTTTGTTAGGTTTTTTTTGTCTACTGTATATAGTTTTAATGAAGTTTTAGTTTTAGTTTGTTATTTTAATACATGCACCTAAACTAAACAAAAATAGAAAATGTTGCCTTGGCAAGTATATATACATATATAATTTTATTTCAGTTAATTTTATTTTATTTTGTTCAAGTAATGAACATTTTTTATTTATTTGTTTATTTATTTTGGTGGTTTTAAGCTTGGTTAATGATAATAACTAATGACTAAATGTGTATATACATTAATATTCTACTAAACGCATATATATATATATATATATATATACAGTGGGTACGGAAAGTATTCAGACCCCCTTAAAATTTTCACTCTTAACAATATTGC